GATCAATCCCGACCGGCAGCGAGCATAATGAAATACGACGAGCAATGAGTCTTAACCTCAACTTAAGCCTACGCAGATACCGCGAGATCTGGTGAACTCAACCCGCTTTAGAGATGGAACATGTTACCGCCATGGGAACTTCCCTTAAGCTGTTCCATCTCATCCGGGTCACCTATAGGAAAGCCTTAGGTGTGAGCGAAACAATCTGCGAAGCTGACGGTTTGCCCATTCACAATCAACAACGACGTCTTGCGAGCTGGGCGGAGCATTTCAAAACACACTTTAGCTGGCCATCAGCGTCAGCTCTTCACTCACCTATTCAGGCACACATCTCACAGTCTGTCACAACAGACCCATGTTCTGAGGCAGAAATTCGAAACTAGATCCAAGCATTGTGACGTCACAAAGCGCCGGGCTCCGATGGCCTCCTCCTTGCTCTATTTAAAGATGGTAGAATTAAGCTTGATAGAGAACTACAAGTTCTGTTCTCCAAAGTGTAGAACACCGAGCAAATCCCATCTTCGTGGGGGGAGTCGATTGTTGTCCCCATCTTCGAAAAGGGCCCGCGCGATGACTGCGCCAATCATAGGGGCATAAGCCTTATCCCAATAGCGTCAAAACTGTTAGCGTCCGTCGTTCTCCATCGATTGTACACTACGCGTGAGGAGCAGGCTGGGTTTCGCACTGGTCGTGACTGTATCGATCAAATCTTCAACCTCCGATAGCTGCTAGAGCCGATGTGCCGATGACATCGCCTTACTGGGTGACAACACAGACAGTCCAAGAGCCTTTAAACCGATTGGCGATCGAGGTATCCAGATATGGTGTGCTTTGCACCTTCCAAGTGCAAAGTGCTGGTTCGAGACCGGCAGGAGCCTGTGCCTGCACTCACCCTCTGTGGTGATCAGCTAGAAGTAGTTGAGAGCTTCAAGTACCTCGGGAGCTTGATCGCAGCTGGTGGTGATGTTGGGGACGAGATCATATAATGAATGGCGAAAGTTAGAGCAGCTTTCGCCAACATACAACACCTGTGGCGCCGCCATAACATCTGACTGCCTCTTAAGGGAGGGTGTACATCGCCGAAGTTCGTAGTGTCCTGCTTTACGGTTGCGAAACCTGGCCTCTCTGAGAAGAGGATGCTAATCGACTTTCCGTATTTGACCACTGATGTCTCCGAAGCATTGCTCGTGTCTGATGGAAACATCAGGTGAGCAATGACCAAGTCCGTCTTCATGTGTTGGATCTGGAAAGTTGTTCGCTAACAGAAGTAATCGCTCTACACCGCGTCCGATGGCTTGGCCACATATTGTGTATACCTGCCCATCGACTACCTCGCCCTGCTCTCTTTGCACGTGCCGAGGTTTTTCTCAAGCCGGTATACTGTACATATATATATATATATATATATGACAGTTTGGTAAACAACGATATTGATTGTTGTTTTTGTAGCTCGGGTGGTATAATATGATGTTCATTTGTTCGCCGACCTTGGCAATTGTATTGCAAACGTTTCATCACCAATCGAGGTGACATTCTCAATGCAGTAACTGCAGTTATGTCTTATCAGTGGTTAAGCTGTGGTTAGGTTACCTAAGCCGAATAGAATAATTGAAATTGGACATCCTTAATTGTTAACTGTTAATGATATTGCTGAAACTAATAATGCTATGTTCCTATTTCAAAAGTCGCTTATACACTGACGTTTCTATAACGAATTCGGTTAGCTCGATCCATATCTGCGGGGACTGAGTGACTGTATTTCACTTGATGGTATTCATTGTTATGGCTTTGCAAGTGAAATTTCCTTTACCGTAGAGTTATCGATCCGAAATTGTTGAGTGATTGTTAGCCAACATGTGATTCTACAGGGGAAAATTTCCCTAAATGAAATTGAATGGTATAAAAGATGGTTAGCAGGCGACTTTTGTTCGTTCCTTGGTGCTCGCAGAGTAGCCCAAAAGAATAGCAACATTGATCCCATAGAACCAAACACAAATTTCATGAAGTAGCTGTTTAAGAGTCCTCTGAAATATGTATATAATTGTGATTTGATGCTGACAAATCGATACCATCCAGGGAACCTCGAACTGGATAGGTGCGACATGTTATTTATGGGAATAGGTAAATTCGAAAATTGTAAATGAATCCGTAGCTTCTTAGAGTCCTTCTAGACCAGTTTTGGTCACCGGCAATCTGGTCCCAAATGCCATACAAGCGATCGCGCCCTTTCCAATCTGTCTATCCGGTTGTGAACAAACAGCTTATAATTGTCATGTTAGTCATTTCTGTTCGCTTACTTCCACAATCGTTTTCTTTTTGGTGTATCTGGAACTAGCGCAATAGCATAGCTGATCACTATTATAAATTCGATTTCTTAAATACGAGAACTACAGAGTTACTTAGACAAAAACACCCCGAACTATGGATGAAACGATGAACAGGTGAGAAGGAAAAATGTTGTCTTGGTTTGTTACTACATTTCTGCATCCGATTTTCATCGATTTAGCCCAAAAATAATCAGGATGGATTCTTTTTATAGACAACTGAAGTCCATTCCTCATATACTGTGATTTCGGTTCACGTTGTCAGATACGAGATAATCAAGCCTCTAATTAATTCGCTAATGTCGCCACTAAAATTTCTATCGAGTTGCGGCATTTTCTCGTTCAGTTACCGATGGCCACACAAATGACAGCTGTTGTCTGGGATTTTTCTGAAGCGTAGGGCGCTGGTCGCACAGAAGCAGCAATGCATAGCAAACCAATCGAGGTGATGCTTACTTTTTTCACCTCACCATTGTCGAAGGTTTCCAACGGCTTTGAATTCAACATGGAATATCTACAATTTTCACATCTGGCTTTCTTCACAGTGCATGCCGCGATACACGGAGATAGTATGGTTCCCATTAATGTCCCGGTTCAAGAATCCCGCATATTGATAACCAATTAGAATTCCACTAAAATCCAGCTCAATAATAATATTTACACATAAATTTCAAGAAAGGGGAAAAATTAAATGAATTTAATAGCAACAAAGATCAGAGACACAACCTTTCACACCAGGAACGCAATATATATATAATTGAATAAGGAATATCTATAAATTTAACCGAAAAATAAACTTAAAGACTTTATTGGATCAAATTACAGTTAACGTTATGAAGGCCACTTTAGTAAACGAGGGCATTTGACATCCATTGCTCGCGCGTTAGACCCATGCTTGTTTTCGGTGACTCATCAACTGGTTAATACATCACATCATATGTCGCATCATTTCCTGTCGAAAAAGGAAACAACAATGTCTCAGTTCCCCAAATTAGATGTGGCTGATCTTGTTCTCAGATATGTTTATTGCGCACATTCGTTGTTACTCATTTAAGCTAGGATGAGGGAGGCAAAAACAGCGATGAAAACATGCACTGATGACACTATCAATGCCAAACTATCTTTCATCATTATTGTTTTCCTACAAACCACTTATCCGCCGTGTTTTGTGGATAACGTTTCAATAAATCTTCGCCCACGGCAGAGATTTTAAATGTTGAAGAAAGCCGGTGAACATGTCTATCTCATTAAAACGGGGTATAACCACTAAATTGATTATTTGTAAACTTAGGACTTCGATAGAGAATGCGCTGAACATAGTCAAATGACGTTTCATATTCACATAGAGACCGATCCCATGTTAGCGATCCAAACATAAGGTTCCTGCCTCTGCAGTGTCAATAAGCTCGTATCTGTTGACTTATCCCAGTGAAGCAACGTACATCGGTCGCACGAGCAGACATCTTTCTACAAGATTTTGGGTACATCATCCGGCCTGGCCGAACACTCGTTTGACTGAAACAATTCCGACTATCATCGTTTCATACCTTGTCACATCTTCTCACGCTGGATTTGGTGGTCTGGTGATGTCATCAAATTATCACCTCGGAGGACGCGCGTTCGAATCTCACCGGCACCGCCTGACGTTCCCCATTGTCCGTTGTATGGCAGTTCTTTGATTGGCCGCTTCCCCCTTCCTGGAAATTGTCTCTTAAAATGGAAAAAAAGCATTCCGTCTTCTCTACCGGGTTCGGGGTCGCAGAACTAAGCTGATTAAAGATCACACCCTAGTCAGTGTGGTGGCGGTTGGAATTAATCTGCATAACCAACTTTCTTAAGCGCTTAAAACAGTCAGTGGAATCACTCATCTTTCCTGGTACGAAATCGTATGAGTAACTGCAACTATGCGTTATAAATGAAATCTGAGAGCAAGATCAGCCACATCTGCTTTGCAGAACTGAGACAGACAGATAACATACAATATCCATTTGTTAGGTTTCTTTTTTTTTCTATACAAAATGTTACTGTGTAAACTATGACGTATTATCAATTTGATAAGTCATCAAAAACAAGGTTATTCGTTAGGCTGTTTTCACTCATTTTTTGCCGCTATTATATTCTAGAAACTGTACAATCTTTGTGTACTTTGTATCTACTTCTGTTAGAAAAGCCCCTCAATTTTTAAAACAAATTTACCTAACAGTAGATTTTATCCAGTCCAAAAGCGTGATTAAACGCGCTGTGCCTAGACTATGTGATGTGATATACAACTAGAATAACGATATACTGTTGTCCTTGTTGTGCTTTTGATTCGAACACTCACTCGTTTGGGGCACCTGTGAAAATGATGTCTATAATTGATGTAAGTGAGTGTATGCTTTAGTCCCTGCTCCAAGCAATTGTATCCTGGTTAAGTGCAGTTCCACTGTGAGCCAGTCACTCCATATTACGTTGAGACGGCTTTTAAATGACCAACCCGGAGAGCATGCGGGCCCCTTGCTCAAATACTGTGCTTGTAAAATATTTGAAAACAGATAAAGGGAGTGAAAAACAAATGAAATGCAAGCAACTAGAAAAGTTGATAATATATTGAAAACCGTTCTTCTTACCTCAGGTGAATTGCATTCATTTTCATCCGGTCATCGAGCTCGGAAATTTGTCTAGAAACGTTCCATTACCGAGATCGAGCTGGAAAGGCCCCCCATAAGAACCGCAAATGTTATTTTGGCTAACTGTGAAATGTTTGCAAACAAATTGCTGGACCACTCAAAGATAAGAAAAGAAATAATGAAAATAATACCAATTGCAATCACAAACAATAGATCTGAAAGTGAATTCAGCTGAAAATAAGAATAATGCACTTCTTAGGGAACGTTTGCTATAAGCCTCAGAAGCAACAATCTTTAAACTAGCTTAACTTCCTGGTGCGACTCTGGCTTTGTAGTTCTAACTGCTCTAGGTTTCTGTATTAACGAGGTCATATAAGTAACCCATTGGTGCTCATTATCAACGGCACACTTCCTTTGGATGGAAGTCTCTTTCGACTTCAACCCTATGTCAGAAACAAAACAACTGTTTTCCCGAGATTTTTTTCCTGCTATCCAACTCTGCTCCTACGATTTCTGGACTCCCAATACCTCTGTTCTTGCAGACATGAGAGGTTTATCCATCTAACATGTATCTCAGAGGAACGGAACTAATAAATCGCGAATGTCTCACTCAAACGCATTCTTGTAGAACTCACCTCTTCAGATCATTTTGGTTGACGTGGTCGTGCATCCAGGAAGGCGATAACACCATCACTGTCAGCCTCCATCGTGGCGTGCATTCTTCAGCGAACGATATCAAATGATTTAAACATTTCGGGAATGTACTTGATCGGGTCGAAAATAGC